AAAAAAAAAAAAAAAAAAAACAGCTATAAACTAAATAGTCAAATTGGCATCCAATATATCTCCTATGGTGAATTGTAGGCACAATCATTCCATCAAAATATTTGTGCGAGTACGACAAGTTAGAAAAGCAAATTGAAATCCACAAAATCTTTCCGTTACTTTTCATCTTCCACATTACAATTGAGAAAATGACACAACACAACCGATAATTTACATGAATTACATAATATTGTTTGTAGTTGTATCACTAACAACACCTTGTCAAGCATAAAAATAAGTCAGTCGGTTACTGAAGTAACAAGTAATTAAGAACATAAACCAGTAGTAGAAAGACTCCTCTTGAGAAAGCATTACGGCACAGTCAAAAGCATTTAACTAAATGGGATCAAGTAACCAAGGCCATGTAGGATTCTTTGTGAGAAATGGAAGAAGTCAAAGTGGATTCAATAGATCAAAAAGTCGAATCCGTTTGGACCGAGAGGTAACGTTCATCGTATTAGAAGGTTATTGAGTTCAGAAATCGAACAATAATCTGTTCAGCTTTTCGGGTAAGAAATCAAAGCACGCTTATTCAAGGACTTGAAAATTTGTTAACACCCCAAATAGTGACACTACTGTTGTGCAAACACATTAACCAAATTCATTTTTTGTATCATATTTTCAGCATTATCAATCCACAGAAGGTACAAAAAGGAAGCACACATACACAACAACCAGATCATCTAAAGAAAAACCGAGATTCAGAGAAAATGCATGCTATTCAATCCACCTATAGAAAAATCCTAATTGAACCAACTTCTGCCAGCCTCAATATGCAGAAGTTGAAGAAAAGGGTTATCCGGCAGCTACCTAACTAGATACCGGGATTTTCAAGAACACGTGCCAGATTAAGCTCCATTACAACTTATTCATTTACTCTAATAATAGAGGAAAAAAAAAATCAAAACTACCTGAAAGATGTGGTGCAACAAAAAGAAGCAGCTCATCATTTACAGGGACACGAATGTCTATGCTGACCCATCAGTGGTTCCATGTCCCACCATAGCAGTTATGATGTTGTATCTGAAATTTATAAATTTAAATTAAGTTATGAAATATCCATATTCAACAGCTACAATCATAGATTTAAATAAATGTTGTTAAGAATAAATCAAATTTGACACCAAAACTTGCCTAGCCGTGTGACATTTATTAATTTGACAGGGGGAGCAGATATATGTATTTGTGCTTCCCTTTTCAAATTGAACAACCTCTATGAAGGCAGGACATTCATCTGCCATAGGATAATTAAGCTTGGAAGACACCCGTTTTCACACTAGACATGTTGACAGGGAAAATTCCGGCTGTAATCTTTGGAGAAGTATACCACAAAAGGGACAACATGGTGTTGAGTGGTACTTTTGAAAAGGAGACTCAAACAAAGATTCAAAATCTGAAGGATATTCGAGCACTGCAAATAAAACGTTAGGTGCCAACTTTGCTGCCTGTCTGTGACAGCATGTACAATACCAGGAGGGTTTAGTAGGGAGTATCTGCATGGATATGGCGCATCTTTTTAGCTTATGTTTTTGACAGGTCCCATTATCATAGCTTACTCCTGAGCAAACTGCATTGTCTTTTGATTCAAATGGCACAACAGCTGAACAGAAATTGCACCACTCTTCCACATCATACCTAAAAAGGTCTTTTAATCTCCTGCCAATAGAAACACAAATGAAACTGATAAATGGACTTGGATAGAACTCATCCCCAAAACCTAGCTCAAAGGAAGAGGATGCTCCACCCACACTTTTACACAATAACAAAAATAACTAATCAATGTGAGACAAACATAACTTCTACAAAAAACTTTATTTTACCAAGTCACAGAAGAAACTCTCAACTTATCTTGACTTAAAAGTGTGATTATAGCCATTTTTTGTAGCTAAAATATTGGCTTATATCAGAAGTTTCTGATTATGGTCAGTGTTTTGCCCAATTAACGATGCTAAAAGATCACCGAACACACTGCACAACATGAACATGTAACGAACATTTTGTTGTAGAAAATGTTATCGCATAAAGATTAATATGGAGCCAGAAAAAGTTACTTCCAGGTCAAAAAAGCACACACACTTAATCCTATCATTTTGGACTACAGCCCCCACATTTTATAGAACTTAACACAAACATGTGCAACTTGCTAAGACCAGAAGTTTATCTATCTGGAAAAACCAGGGAAGAAAAAAAAAAGGGCAGGACACCCAGGTTTAGCTTCACAGCCAACGTCATTTTAATAAGATGAACTAAATGAGCATTCGCAGAGACAGAGAAATGACAGGTACACAACACTATAACATCTATTATTAGCAGATCAAATGCAGAGTAAAAAATGAGGAATTAATTACCTTTTCTCAACTTTTCCAACTTCGGCAGCTAGAAATTTGGTATGATCCTTCAGATTCTTCCCACTTTTTGAAACCCATTGCTCCATCTGCGCCAATCCATCAGGACTCCAGCAACCAACTCGGTAAAACTCCACTGATGAATTAGATTGCCAACTCAACATGGTGGAAAAACAAAAACGGACAAGCCTCTCCAAGAGTTCACTTTCGCAGCTCGAAAGAAACTCCATCCATTTATTCGCCTGGCCATCCTTGGTAACACCAAAATTTTCTAATTCTTGCTGTTTGCCACTCGTATTGTCGGCTTTATATCCTTTAAGAACAACACGCCTACTAATGATGTTGATGAGGTGCAAATGACGGGAAGAGACCTTGGGAAGACACTTAATCAGTTCAGGCAAAGCTGCAACGGAATTACCAAACTGCGACTTTAAGTGAGATGTCAGCCATTTCAGTAGAATACACTCTGTGTGCCCAGATGAAGACTGCTTGAAGGCCAAGAGAGCAGTCATAATATCCCAAATGGTCAAAAACCTATTGAAGTCTGCATACTGATCCAAAGACCACAATAAGTTCCTTTCCCACCAAACCAGTTCTTTTTCCTGGATTCCAGGAAATGGTTTATTTTCTGTATCTCGACCAAAAGAAGAGTCCAGTTGCTGCCCCCCGATCCAAAAGAATTCGATGGCAGCTCTGTGACTTCTGGAAATTTCATGACAATGCATACATGTTACTGAGAGCCAGTGTATATAAAATAAATCGAGCAGTGTAACTATTTAATAATCAGTCTTTGCAACTAACTCCTAGGCATTTATCTTTGAAATCATGACTACAAATAAGCAGGGGGTATTATCATTGTGTATTTCAAAACATGTTAAAAGATTCTGATTTTATACGCACATCTATTACACGCATCTTGGTGTACGTATATGCACATGTTTTAGAGATTTTTCAGAGAATATTATGAAGAAGAAAAGTGACCTCACCTTCCCTGGTACATAGGATGTAATAGATCAATGTCAAATCCACGAGCCTGCAAAGAAAGAGATGGAATGTTTTAGGACTGGATTGGTGTAAGGGAGGTGTAGTTTTTTGTTCTACATGATTGAGAGGTTGATACAATACATGAAAAGGCTTAGATGCCCTGATTCAAAAAAATATAATCTAGAATTTGAATGGCGTACATGATAACATGTCAAACTAGCTGCATTTGAATATAAATATCGTCTGGAATTTGAATGCATACATGCTAACATGTCAAATCCGCTGCTATTTCCCCTAACTCTTGACTATTAGACTTACTCACGTAACTCTAAACTAACCACCACTCATTATTTTACTATTTTTATATCAAATCAAGTTTAATAATTAAACTTTTCATTCACATCCATTTCACACTCAAAATTTTCTGTTCTTTCATAATAAAATAATAAAAATCAAAATCAAAACTTCCTCTTTCCCATGTTCAAGATGAATGATATCCATTAGCACCTTGTTTTCTGGTTCTCCTGTCATCTTAATTTCATGCCATGTAATGGCTAAGTATTTCATTTTATTTAAAGAAGAAAAGAAAAAAAAAATAATAAAAATCATTCTATGAAGGATTTATAGCACCCAGTACACAAAAAAGTTAAGACCAAATTGTTATGGGGTAACCGCAAGTAAGAATGTCAAAAAGAATTTTAGTGCTTTGGAGATGAATTATAATACCACTGCAATTGCCAAATTTCCAGGGGATACTGTCAGACCAAAGCACGAATCGAAAGCATAAGGAACCTGTTGATAATTTCTAGGGGGAGTTAGCTGAAGAGATGAACATAACAGAGCTAAAACATAATAATTTGTATCATACATCACAGGAACTCTTCAAACCAGGAGAATATGATGGAATAGGGACTTCACACAGAGAGTTTTCAACTAACATCCAGCTCTTCACGGAGTTCTCCTGAAATCAGTCAAAAGCTATGATAAATGATTTGCTATGTTCTTTGAACAGTTGATATGATAATATTTACGTCCTCTCGACCCATACACAATTAGATATCTAGTACCTACTGAATCGAACGAATTTTGAATATTAACATCCAACTTTAATCTTTATACCTGGCCGCAGCTGTACAAACAGCGTCCACTGAAAGCCCAGGTTAAACCAGTAACCTGATGTTTATTTTAAAAAGAGAATATTAATGATCACTCCAGATGCAAAATACAAAGTACCACCAATGAATACGTACTTACAATTCGATCATGTGCACTATAACAGCCAACTCTATCGAAATTGCAGGTAAGCATGTCAATGATCCACACTTCAAATGACCCAGAACCTTTGCCAACAGCTAAGAACAGTCTCCATGGTGATTGAGAGGGTATTGTAAGCGACAGTACGGAAATTGTTGCATGATCAACCGCTATGGCCTTATGAAATGAGTAATCACAAATTTCAATATAAGAACTTAACAATAATGCTCATAATATATAACTAAAATGATATGACTAAATTATAAAATGAGATGGCATGGCACCTCCTTAAATAGGGTAAAGGAATTGTAGATCACTTCTGATGATTTCAGTAGTTCCTCACCATTCACCAGCCAAATCTTCACACTATGAAGACAAAGAAGGAAGTAATTATCAAATAAGAAATCGGATTTATATTAATAAGAGCCCAGATCCTCAAGTCATTGTGGAGAAAATCTCAGAACAAATTTACAGTAATTTTTTAAATCATAGTTCAAATATCAAGGCAAAATTAACAGTTTCGTTTCCAAAATGAAATCAATGAAGTTATTCATGTGGATGCATGGCAATTATAATGGCTTCAGGTTTCTAAAAAGTTGATGTATTGATAGTGGTTAACGAGCACAAATACTCACCTACCATCAGAACTTCCAGTGGCCAATATTAACTGGGGCTCATCATTACAGCCACATATCGCCCAATTAATCGCCGTGATCCAAGCATCATGTGCCTTAAGAAGGCCAACAAGCAATACATTACTCGAGTACTTAGGGTTATCAACTGCATAGCAATCGGGTGCATGGATTCTCCAAAATGAAAGTCTTCCACACTTCCCTCCAACAGCAAGAACAGAGCAGTAATCGGACGAGTTTTGAGGAGAAGCAACACCATTCCCAGATGTTCCCAGAATTGGAGACCAAGCAATAGCAATTGACATCAGCATTTCACTGCGGGAGGCATACTGCTGCTTGGTTAATATAGGCAAATTCCGGTCATCAGTCACTTTCTCTAGACTTTTATAGAATGAGACAGGAACAAGTTGCAGTGTATTTGTCTCTCTCAAGTTGTCTGAATCTGATTCAGCTATCTGATGAAAATAAACCAGGTTTATGAATGACTGCTAGATTAGAATAAACGGGAGTACGGGAGAGATAGTGAATCAGAAAGCCAATGAAATAGTGCATTACAATAATTGCATTCTGTTTCTTTCTTTTAGGGCCCTTTCTTAAACTAGATACAGGAGGCTCATCCGCACATCCATAATCTACAACTTCTTTTCTTGCTATCACCTGAAAGAAAGAAGTTCAAACAATCATATGGTTAATGCTGAAATATAACCAGCAATCTATCCAGCTATAAAGAAGTTCAATCTATCCATCCATCTATTTCATCAATAACACGTTTGGAATAGTGCATGACAAAATCTGACCAGCAACAAGTTGAACGGTAAGCACTTACATCTGAAATTTCCGTGGACACAATTTGATTATCCCCAAAATTGGTACTCTTGAAATGATTGTACAGCAACTCTGATATGTCCAAAACCTGTAGCGTTACAAGCAAACACAGCGTGGAAGTCAGACGTAACGTAGAAACAAAAGCATGCAAACCAATCGTACATATGAGAAATGTACTCCGGAAACTACTTTCATAACGTGAGGTTGTTTCTATGGTACTGAAAAAGAGAGACTGCGATCCAATGATCCATTGCTTCAGTACCAGCTTGAGAACGCAATATTTTATATAGGAACACAAACTAACTACTAAAAAGATTTCCTAGTAGCATATTCCAATAACAGGTACTATTTAATTTGAGAAATTAAACATACAGCAACACATGATTAAGATAATCTTCTTGGAGCTAATTCAGTATAGAGCAACGTTGGCACATAAACTGAGCCTAAAGAAAGTCTAAGTGCATCCAACATAAATTATAATCTCATTATGCCAACACAATCAATTTAAACAAGCATTTTCCACTACAGTGCATTTGAGCTGGTAAAACAGGTGTATTTATCAATCATGATTAAACACCAAAAACGTTCACTTATTACTGTACCTCAATCCACTCCACCGAAAATTCACAGAAAGGAAAGCGGTAAAGTTTCACACGTCCCGCAGTAGTGCAAACAGCAAGCAAACAACTGCACCATTCAATAAATATGATAATCAGCTTCTTGGAGACATCGTTCCATACTTATACAAATATATAACATAATTAGATCGCATTAGTACCCGGCATTGTTGGCTAAGCCCACCGGGGACCAAGAAATCGACCTAACACAAGGACGATTATCCCGCGCCAAGATACACGGTAGCGTGCACCCATTTAGCAAATCTCTCCCTGTTGTCAAAACAAAACCACAACAGTCTCCCGCTTGTTTACTCTCAAACTGAAAGAATTTGGCTTAAACATTCACCAATGGACAGGAATCAAACCATCTAACAAAAAGCTCAAAAACAAAAAGCTCGTTGTTGGATAGCGATTAAACTAGCATACCTTCGCCATCGACCACACCGAGGGGGAAAGGCTTGCTGACAGGGATGGTAATCACGCCTCGAGCTCCAGGATTGCCAGGATTCTAAACAAGGCAAGCAAATGCGAATTGTTAACAGTGAGGAACCTCGATCAACTAAACATTCCTGAGCTAAAACTACACTAACGAATCAGAGATACTGTATTCACAAACTGTCGGGACTCAATTCGAGTAGCAATAGCGACGGGAAATTTTACCAAGATCGTGACGGTGTTGCCGCCGGCCACCGCGACCAGGTTCTCCTCCGACCAAGCGACGGCGTTAGGGTAGACGATGGAAGAGCCGAGCACGGCGGTGTGGAAGGGGGAAGGCATAGTATACTACAGGTTGAGAAAAATGGAGGGATGCTTAAATTAAATAACTAACAAATTGAAGCGGGGAAAAGAAAATGTGTTTTGGGTGTGAGATTGGGGGATTCGATGCCGGGACCTTCGTTCTATAGAGGGACAAAGGGTTTTTACTTTTTTCAGCTCCCTCGCTTGGGCTGAAAATTCCTATGGATTTAATTATTAATATTTTTTTTTTTTTTTTTTT